AAGCCCATGGGCATCTTAAGAAATTCATATTGCCCTAAAGGTGTAACAGATGAGGTATATTTAATAGATTGCATGCAACATGAAAATACTCATTCTGATGAACCTTTATTATCTCTTATTATATCGCAAAATATATTATTAACGAACCTTTGAAATGCATGCGCCGCAGTTTTCAAACCCATGGGCATCTTAAGAAATTCATATTGCCCTAAAGGTGTAACAAATAAGGTATATTTAATAGATTGCATGCAACATGAAAATACTCCTTTTGATGGACCTACCATCTTTGTAAATAGCATCTTTACGCATAGCCTATCCAGTAAATCATCGATCAATGGTGGCGGGTAGTTGTCTCGACATATAATTTTGTTAAGTCTTCTAAAATCAATACATAATCTCATGTCTCCCTTTTTTTCTTCACTAGTACTATGGGCGATGCATACTCTGAACAACTAAGCCTAATGATTTCCTCTTTTAAGTAATCGTCCAAATATTCTTGTAATTTTTTTTCCATATAAGATAGCGGTCTAGGTGTACAATTAAATACTTTGTCATTTTCTAATCATATGCTTAGCCAAGTCTTATTTTTCGCCTTAACCTAATTATTTTCAAATAATTAATGTCTTCACTTAAAATATATGTATTTTCTGTCTTATTTGAATCCCCACAACTTATTGTTAAAATCTCCCTATCAAAATTCTCTTCCAACACTCCAATTCTAGTGGTATCCCTATTCGCTGGAGTTTCATTAACATGATTATTAATTGTTACTGCACTGCTTCCTTTATCTTCTATAATCACTTTTTCAATCCCGGTTAGATTATAGGTAATTTCATCACTAAGCACTTCCTCTCTATAAGGGTCGAACCTAACCCCTCCATTACTAATTATCTCATCGCTAACAGTTTCGATACGAATCACTTCATTGCCAACTATTTCATCAATAATTATTTTATTACTAACTATCTCATTAATAACAACTTTATCAATAAGAGTTTTGGTACTAACAGTTGTATCACTAACTAATTCATCACTAACAGAAGCTTCATCTACTACTTTTTATGCCCTTGCAGAGGGTATTATAATTTTGTCGTGAAATGTGTAACGCATACAAGGAGACATCTCTGACCGCATAAAGTATATATATTCTTGATCAGCATCAACAGCCGAGTCGATATAGCCATGTCCGTCTGTCTGTCTGTCTGTTTCTATGCGAACTAGTCTCTCAGTTTTATAGCTATTTTAATGAAACTTTGCAGAAGTCGCTTTTTCTGTTGCACACAGCACATATGTATGTGAAAACCAGCTGGATCGGACCACTATATTATGATATATGAGCTGCCACAGGAACGATCGGTCAAAAATTAAGTTTTTGTATGGACAAATTTTTTGTTTTTGACGATATATTGACCAAACTTGGCATTTATTAGTTTAACTGCGCTCCTTATATATATATATATACAAAATCCTATCTATGTACATCGGACCACTATATCATATAACTGCCATAAGAGCGATCGGTCGAAAACTAGGTTTTTGATTAAAAATCTTTTTTGGTTATCAAGATATCTTGACCAAACTCGGCATTCACTATTTTCCCGGTACTTCTTAGATACGGGCAAAGCACTATGGGTATTATGAAAAGGTTGGGTCTGCAGGGGTATTAGCCCTTCTTTCTCGTTTTTGCTTGTAGCTTTTAGCTATGTTAGAATTTTTAACATTATTCTGATAATCAACTTTATCCACATTCACAATTGTCAATGTTCTTAAAACAGTTTAAATTAAAAGAATCCATAAAATTTCTACCAAGCACAGCGTTATACCTCATAGTCTCATTTGCCGCAATTATAACATAAAAATAAACATTTATTAACTGTTTCTTCATATAACATAAGATTTTTCCAAATTTTTTTAGTTTACTTTCATTTAAACCTACATACGAATTCGCATCTGGCATACGCTTAATTTCTAATGGCACAAACTTTTCCTTTAAAAATGAAATAGGGCTGCCAAAGTCTATGAAGCATTCTGCATTTATTGATTTGTTAAATGAGTTACTAAAGTGAATTCTTAAGAATTTTACATAGTTGTTTTCCATAGCAGACTTATTATTTGCACATCCTACTATTAAATGATCCTTTGATTCGAACGCATAAAAAGATCATGGCTCCCGTTTAGGCTGTAAACAATCTTTGGCTGTAAACAACAATGGCCCTTAATTGTAGCAACGTTGTTGCTTGTTCGCCTGTGCTTCCTGTGCATTGTTTCGTGCATTGGTCCGGCCTTGCTCAGGGCAAGTGGGTGGGTTTTTGTCCTCTTTCTGAACTAGTCGATACGAAATAAAGTTTAAGCAGAGAACGGGACAGGACTATACTAACCAAAAGTTGAAGAAGATCTAAGGTGTTAAAGTGCTTTTCTCTATACGCGCCCGGTCATGTAAAATTCTAATGACCCTAAACATGCATGTGGTGCTGGCTGCACTGAGCATTAATTGATTTTAGATTTTTATAATGTAATTCAAAGAGTTATCTAGTTTGTTCATCATTTTCATAAATAAATATGCTCAAAATAGGAACATAATATAAAAGTAAGGTACGAACTTGAATTCTGGTGTTTGCAAGGCTTACTTAAGTTTAGCAATTAATAACAAAGAGAATGAGCCAAGCAAATAAAAAAAAAAAAAAAAAAACAACAAATATTTAGAATAAAGTAGTTTTGTGTGTTCAGCAATGATAGGGTCATCATAAAGCCAAAAGCTCTCATGACAAAGCAAATAAAATGTATGTACGTATCTTGAATGATCGTTATTCTTATCAGCTATGAATGTTATATTGAAAGTTCAACACAACATAACGCCTGAGCAAAATCACACAAAAAAAGTTTTAAGTATGTTTATCTACCATACCTAAAATATGGGTGCGCTAACACATTTAAGTAAACATGTGCGTTTATACATGCATGCTTACACACAGGCTGTACCGGATTTACAATTCGTAGATTCCATCAATGTCAGCAGGCCTGTTGATGTTGATATTTATCGTTAACCCCAGTCATATGTCGTGCAGTTAAATACCTTGCACGTTTAAGCAGGCTGAAAAGAGAGAGCTATGGGAGAATATGATGGATGCTAAACGAGCAGGTCGCGTTGGGCGTTGTTCCGATAAGATCGCTGCCATTGTCAAGAAGGGCTGCGACGGCTTGCGTTGGTCATGCCCAGTATGCATCGACAAGCAGATTGACCTCTCCAGGATGTATAATTCTGTGAGAAATCAATTTGTAAAACATAATAGTGTGACTCAGCATCTCTCGAGAAACTTTGACTCGAGTTTCGAGTTACTTAGCACCTCTACCTCTTGCATTTCCCTTTACATCTGTCCAAACACTTAAAACAATATTGCGTGTGCCTAGCAACTTGGATTTGTCTGCAATGTTGTCGTTCAACCTTCTCCCAGCGATTATCCGAATATCAACCTTGTGGTATCCGCAGGAGTAGTCCCTGTAGACCAAGTTCTAATACCTGCACTTGTCAGCGAAACTGCTTCAGCACCTTCAGCACAAATTGTTAAAGGCAATCATTGTTAACAACAATCCCTATTTCATCTTCAACCCCATCAGCTTCTTTTTTGATTGTTGTTGCCCCTCGAAAGCATGTTTTTGTGTTCCGGCTTTCTTCTGGCATTACTTGCGGTTCGATGGCTATCTATATTGCTAGCAAATCTTCTGCTAACGTATCTATTTCTAAATTTAATTTTTCCACTCCTGGTGAAATAGCATCATTGAGAATTAATGTTTCATAAGTTCCGTTCCCAATTACTTGTGATCCTAAATTCTGGCCTCCGCAAATGATTGTTCACGAGCTTAAGCAAAACGAGAAAAAAGGGCTATCTTCGGCACGCCGATGATTTAATAGCCTTCCAGACCCATTTCATAATGCTCATTCTGCTTTGCCCGTATCTAAGAAGCACAGGGAAAAAAGAACCTCATTTTCAACAAGATTTTGCGTAAATTTAGGAAATATAATGAAACCTTTAAATAGCGAGTTTAGTCAAGATGTCTTGAAAAAAAAAAGTATGAAAATTTTCGATCAGCATCAACAGCCGAGTCGATGTAGCCTTATCCGTCTGCCTGTCCGTCCGTCCGTATGTATGAGCGCAAGGATCTCTGAACATATAAAAGCTGGAGACTCGAAATTTAGCTGTAGGTCCTCTAAGTGCCCGCGCAGAATGAGTTTTTTTTCTATATCGATAAAAATCGATATCGTATTTATTTTAAACAAATTTGTTAGATAACAAAAGCTAGAGTCACCAAACTTGAAATGTAGCTTCTAGAATAGTAATGTATATCATATATTTTATAGCTATCACACGTCCACGGTACTACATCTTATATATACATGAAATAAATAAAACTATTTATACTGCTGGCCAATGTAAGCCACAATTTAAATGCAATTGTCATTTTTATAATACACCAAAATTTTTTAGTACATTAAGATGTACTATTAAAAATTTCATTAAGATCGGTTAAGAAACACAAACGTTGTTAAAGAAAATGTGTTTTGTCTAGTCTCGTGTTCGGAAACTGGCGAAAATTGAAAGAATTTCTATATGTACACACATACATTCATGCGAGTCTTCCTTGACTTTTATCAACAATATTGCAATTGCGATTGTATTGTTTTCTGGGCTGCTATTCTTATTCGTTTCTCATTATTAATGAATTATTTATATGGCTGTTGAGTAGAGGCAGCAGCAAACATTGAGGCTGCAAGTTCGAACCTTACCGAGGAAACTTATTATTTTTTAATTTATTTATATTACTATATTACAAGCGAGTGCGTAGCTCGTGCTGCATTTGGTGTTGGAAGAAGAGGGTTCAGGGTCGGCAGCTCCCGACTAGAGCCTCTTGCTTGTTTATATTGCTGTACAGGGTGTTAGAAAAAAAGACAAAAACAGAGAAGTAGAGTTGACTGTTTTTTGTTGGTATTAAATATATTTCAGTTGCCCCTTTGAATATAAGATTGCTTGGCGCTTATCAACCGTTGTCAGCTGGACGCAGATATGATCTTTTATGCCAAAGTGCTGGATCCAGGCCTCCTGCTGTAATTACATGGTGGCAAAACGGCGTTAGATTGGAAAAAACCACCGAAACAGTAAGTTGTCATATTATATTTACTTATTATTTTTAGAAACCGAAATACTGTTTTGATTTATTTTAATGTCTTATATATTCATAATAAAATATTTTTTAAAGGATTTAAGAATTTATATACTATTTCGAAAAGTGCCAGATAATGCATAGATAATATATAAAACCAGTGGGTATTGCCCAACCTTGCCCGAGTGTCGTATAAAATGAATACTCTCAAAAATCATTGAAAATGAGTTTGGTGCGGGTGATATTTCCCAAATCGCTGAAACACGTATTCTTGGTGTTCTTATGTATGTTTTGAAACAAATTGGACAAAACTGCGAAAAGTGTGAAACACATTTCAAATGATTTTTCGTATAGATCTTTGGAAATAAATTTGAACACTAAGAGTCACACACAAAATCTTTGAACACCATTAATACCAAAGAGGAACGTGTTTCACAAAAGTATAAAACGCCCCTTAAAATAATTTGAAAAAATGAGTTTGGTGCCGAATGAATGGCAAGCAAGAAACTTTCATACAACTGTTGTTCGCCAATTTACCACTATTAAGGGTGACATTACCCAAATCGCTTATTCCTATTCAATAAGTTTTTACGTAGAAAACTAGGATGTAGGTCCTCCTAGTGCTTTCGCAGATTGAGTTTATTTCCGATAATAGATAACTTGCCCGTTTCTAAGTAATCGATAAAAGTCTATATCGAAATCCTGTTTTTTTTAAATTTTAAGTCTCTAGTTCTTATAGGTTCTGATATCCTTGCGTTCATACATACGGACGGACGGACGGACAGACAGAAGGACAGACATGGCTAGATCGATTCGGCTATTTATGCTGATCAAGAATATATATACTTTATGGGGCGGAGATGCTTCTTTCTATCTGTAATATACATTTACTTTGTACCGATTTTTAATGGGTTCAGGGTATACAAAAAATCTTATAAGACGTGTTTCACATAACATAACGTATACTCTATTATACGTGGAGGTTAAAACCGTTCGACCGTTCAATCGTCTGAACAAATGACAGATTTTGAAATTTTGAACATAGGTTCTCCTACTGCCCGCGCAGTATAAGTTTGTTTCCGAAAGCCGATAACTCACCCCGTTTCGAAGTAATCGATACAAATAGATATCGAAATTCTGTTGTTTGAGCAAATCCCTTAGGTTTTTAAAGCTAGAGTCACCAAACTTGACGTATAGCTCCTAGAACTGTATATATATCAAGTATTTTTCATTTAATCGCCACCTCCCCGCTTTCATCACATAGCTAGAAATCAAAATTATAAACCATCTTGTATTGCCAACTTTTTGTGAATATACAAATAATTTACAGCAAAATAAGAACTACTGTTGAGAATTTCATCAAAATCGGCTAAAAACATAGAAGTTATAAAAGAAAGCTCGCTTTGGCTGGCCACGAACCTAAAGCAGCAAGCGCTAATTGCAAAAATTTCTGTATGCGTGTACCCACGAACATACATATATTCATGCGCGTCTTCTTTGACTTCTATCAACAGCATTGAAATTGCGGTTGTATTGTTGTCTGTGCTGCTATTTAATCCGTTTTTTCTCATTAGTCAACTGTTGATGTGGCTGTTGTGTTGAGGCGGTTGCAAATGTTTTGGTTTGTTACAAGATCGAACCATACCGAGGAAACTTATTATACATTATTTTTTTTAATACCGCTGAAGCAAACGAGCGTTTGGTATTGGTAGAAAAGGTTTCAGGGTATCCCCTTGTCGGGAACTCCCGACTAGAGCCTCTTACTTGTTATTATTAAGTTTGCATGGTCCAGGGCTGATCATCATTTGACCAATGCTGGGTCCTTGAAGCGGCGACGGTGCAGGTCCTCGCACATCCTTGGGTGTCAGTAGATACGTATCCAAGCAAGAAGTGCTATAGAATAGTCCCACGCAGTCGTCGGGGGTCGGGGTATTTCCGCTTTAGTTTGGGTATCTATTGTGGACTTTGAGTATCGATAAATTTTTTGGACAAATTAGAAATTGGGTGAATGGCGGGTGACTACTCAGCAAATTTAGCGAAATGATTAAAATTGATGGTTTTGGCGACCTTTCCATATTTAAAATATTTGTTGGCTGGCTCGAGGTCCGAGTTTGTAAAAACAAACACTGAAACAATTTTATTTAATTATTGCTACCAATATATTTCGGTTGCATATCGGCAACACCTAGATACAAAAAACAATTAACAATTAGATGACATTACGATAAAAAATTAATTTGAAGATTAAACATACATTATTTTACATGTCAGCGCTTTTTCACGTGGATATTGAAATTGAAGCTGTTTGGCTGTTTAAGAGATGTCTGTACAAGTGAGCGCAATTTTCTGTTTCTGTATTGTAGCATAGTCGTTTCTTGTAGTTTTGTTCCTGTTGTAAGATTGTTGTTTTATCAATATTTTGTGTGTGATTGCTTCTCATACAGTGGGTCATTAGTGATGTTTTCTGTATATTATTTTGATGTCTCAATTTGAAGTCTGATTTATGTTGACTTAATTTCGATTCTGTTGTATCTATGTAAACACTATTGCACTTGTTGTTCTTTTCCCCGCCACATGGTATTTGGTAAGTGACGTTTATATGTGGATATACGTACTACCAAAAAAAAATAAGGAAGGAACACCACTGAGACCAATATGTTCCTTTATCGGATCTCCATCTTACGGGCTGTGCAAATACATAATGAAAATATTTAAAAAGTTTGACAATGGACTCTAGGTACAACATTAGGAACGCGGTAGATTCAAAATGCAAAGTTAACAAGTCCCACATTCGAGAAGAAGAAACATTAGCATCATTTGACGTAGGATCCTTGTTTCCCAGCATACCAATGGAATTAGCAATTGACACAATCGGACAAAAATGAACCAAATTGGAAGAACACACTAGTATACCAAAACAACTATTTATGGACATAGTAAGATTCTGCATTGAAGAAAGCCGATATTTCAAATAAGGGGACAAAATATACACATATCTAAAAGGAATGCCAATGGTATCACAGGTCTCCAGTAATCGCAGATATCATAATGGAAGAACTGTTGGACAATATTACAGATAACTTAATAATTAAACCAAGACCTTTTGAAACAGCATTAATAGCCCACTGAATGATAAGCAATCACACACCAAATTTTGATGAAACAGCAATCGTACAACAAGAACAACAACGACAAACCACACACATTGGAAATGATAGACATTATTGACACACCCACCAATAAACGACTAAACTAGCAAGCACTAACCAAATGGCATATAGACTGGACATGCCATAGAAGGGAAGTGGGCAAAAAAATATCGATGGCATCTGGTTCAAAATCGCGAGCAAGAGGGAAAGATATACATAAGATGCCTTTTTATTCGCTTACACTACAGGAAATTGCTTTGGCTTACTCTCTTCCATATGATTTGTGCATCGGATTTAAAAATGGCATACATATATTAAGAAAAAGCATCAGCCGCAGCGACGTTGTGCGCTGAGCGAAATGCGGCTTCACACTAAACGTTCGGCTTTTGAGGCCGGCGTTCGGCTGCCACTCTCATCAGTCTTACTCTGCCTGGGCACACTACAATGGTCGCAGGCACCCTCGGGATTCCCTCGTTGCGATTTATGCATTGTATGGTTAGTGCTAATACTTAAGTATTTATTACAATCTTTACATTCGGCCGACCCGACAATATTAATCGACCAAGATTTACATACTAGCGGATAATACTATGTTTACACTACTAGCCCATGACTTAAGCCGCGAAGGCTCTAAGACACCTCGATTTGCTAATTGAGTCCTTTGGCAGTTGTCAATGTTCACTACTTCGTAACGGTCATTCTCAAACACGCGACTGACCTTATATGAACCACTTTATTTCGGAGCAAACTTTTTATTGATGCTTTGTATTCACATTACGAATTGCAACATAATCGCCTAAGCTATACTTTAAAGGAGCTCTATGTTTTTTCCTATACATGTGCTCATTTCTCAATTGCGATTTAGCTATATTTTCACCTGCCATCTTTCTTATAGATCCCAAATGGGTCCTTTTTGGTCGACTCCAAATAGTAACATACTAGGCGTTTTCCGCGTACTACTGTGGACGGCGTTGCTAATGGCAAATTCTTCCTATACATTAACTTATGCCAATCTGACTAAAGCACGGTTCCGACAACTTTCCGAGAATGGGAGTTAATACACGGTTTTCTCGCTCCACTTGACCATTGGCCTGTGGCGCGCCTGTTGCCACCTTAATATGCTCTGTGTCAGGTTCTGTCAAAAATGTACTAAACTCTAAAAAAGTAAAACACGTGCCACGATCCGATATTATTCTTTTAGGGCGACTATAGAACTCAAAATATTTCGTTAAAGAGTCCCTGGCCTCTCGTGTACTTGTGCTTTTCAACGCAAAGAGTTTGAAAAACTTTGTAAATGCGTCCACTATTACTAACGAGTGTTTTCTTTTAGAATTTACACTCGATAAGGGGCCTACAAGCAATTTCTAATAAAATTTTCTACCTTAATGCGTATAAGGGGGAACCAATACGACTTTTTCAGATCATTAACACACTTGTCTGCTGCTAAGTGTCACAATTTCTCATGTGCTACTCGAATTAATTGATCTTCCATACTGGAAGGAGCATACAATCGCAAGTTATCTTTTTCATAAATTTTGTACACAACACCATCTACTTATTTGAAAGCAAGAACATCAGCATTCTATAACAACTCACTGGATCTTACTACGTGTGGATCTCTCATCTGCTCAGTTTGCAATATTAAATCAATATCTTCTTTCGTCACGCATACCACGCTAACAATTGGCAAAGCTTACAGTACTGACTCTTCTAAAAGCTCAATTTCTTCAATATGTCTGCTACTCACTTTTTTCTCTATGTCTTCAACTTTTCTTTACCTCTCTCCCCAGGCCGTTCATATGATTATTGTTATAGACATCACTCAAATTATCACTATGATCATCAC